CCAGAGAGAAGGAGGAGACCCAGGTGCTGGGCAAGAGGGCCCAGGCTCCAGGCAGGGCTATTAGAGGGGCTGAGGGCCTGTGCTGATGTCTGAGGGATGCACAAATGTGGGTGTGCTGGTGACTGCAGGGGGTGAGGGGGTGTGTGTTCACTAGGGAACTGCATGTCACTGTCATACTGGAGACGGTCAAGCAAAGGGCTACTTCGATGATGAAGAGACTGGAGCATCTCTGACGTGGTAATAGGCTGAGTGAGCTGGGACTGTTCAGCAGAGAGAAGAGAAGCCTTAGGGGAGATCTCATCAATGTGTGCAAGTGTCTGGAGGGAGGCTGTGAAGATGGCGGAGCCAGGCTCTTCTCCATGGTGTCCAGTGACAGGGCAAGAGGCATTCAGCAGAAACTGAAACAAAGGAGGCTCTGTCTGAACACCAGGAAACGCTTTGTCACTGTGAGGGTGAGGGAGCACTGGCACAGGATGCCCAGGGAGGTTGTGGAGAAATTTGGAATTGTGGGGTTTTTTTAACGATGGGGGTGGAGCATGGGTGTAGATTGATCCCAGTAAGAATGGGACTCTAGGTCCACAGAGTGTTGATTAAAATACCACTAGCTGGAGATAACAAAGAGGGTAGAAGGGGAGGCACGTTATGCCCCTCCAGATGCTGGGAACCCTGAGTTCTGTGGGTCTGTGCCTACTCAGGTCAGGTTAACTTAACGATAATGAACAGTTTGTCACCTCTGCCATGACTGGTGCATGGGATCACATTGGGTTGATCTGGAAAGGGGGCGGGAGTAGGGCATCCCACCTGCCCACCCCCCACCCCTTCACATGCCCTTTCAGCTCTGGGGTGCAGGGCTACCCTATCCCCACCCATCACTGTGCAGCACGCCAATGGGGCCCCTATGTGCACCCTGGGATAGGGGGTGACCCACTGACCCCTCATCTTGTTCCCTGCTGACCCCTCACCCTTTCCTCAAGAGTAGGAGTAGGTTGTCCTTGTCACCTCTGCGTTTGTGGCATCTAACAGCAGCACTGCTGCCAGGTTCCTCTCTTGCACGGTGGGTTATTCCAGCAGAAGATGACACAGCCAGAACTCCTGGGCTGCTGCACAGCAGGGTTCATCTCCTCTTTTGGGGGATTTGGGGGAGAGGCCTTGTTCCCAGGCAGTTGAGGAAAGAAAGGGGAGAAGTGAGAGAAACAGAAGAGACTTCTGTTCCCAGAAGAAATAGCAGTGTCCCCAGAGAGCTGAGGACCCCAGAGGAAGATGTGAAGCCTCAGTGGGGAGGAAACCCCTGACCTCCCAAATGGCCCAGCAGTGGGTGTGCAGAAGAGCAGGCGATTCTAGCTGGGGAGGTGAGGGCTCCACTGCGAGCTGACCGGGAACAGCCCCTTCCCACGACTGGGGCCCCCAGAGCCCCCAGGGCCCCTGAGGGAGCCACAGGTGTTGCTGCTGGAGGAGGGAGAAACCCCGAAGGAGCATTTCAGGCACAGGAAGAACAGATCACTTCTCTTCCCCGCTTCCTCCTTCGCTCCCCCAACAGAGTCGTTTCCGGCAGCTCTGTTATCTCGGGGCTGGGAGGTGGTTTTCTGACTCTCTCTCACTCGGCAAACAGGCAGGTTGGTCTCGACATGCACCTCGGCTATCTCGTCCTCACGGCTTTCCTGGGGCAACTGCTGGGTAAGTCCTGGCTTTCTATAAACACATACTT